AAAGTGTTATGCCCCAAGAAAATTCATAGATCTTCTCTAGAATTAAAAGAAATTTATGGAGTAAACAGAAAAAAATTTTGAGCTCTAGAAGGCCATTAAGAAAACTAAATAAATGTGAGCCAAGTAAATTGGAAGGAAACTTGGAGATTAAGTTTTGATCCAATGGTCAATATTTATTGTTCCTTCCTCTCCATTAGATTTGTGCCAGCTAACTCTCTTCTAGAAGGATGATGTAAGGAATGATGTAAAAAGATGATGTATTGATGATATAAAAGTACACTTGAAGTTTAAAGTTTGCCCTTACAATTTCTACTCACTTTTAAGGGCATATCAGTCCATTCAAGACATAAGTTTTGGCTATAAATACCCCATCTTGGAAGAGCACTTTGGCAAACATTTGCAGAAGGAAAACTTTGCCAAAAATCAAAGAAAAACGTAGGGGTGAAGGCCAAGAAGAAGGAACAAGATTCAAGCTTCAAGATCAAGGTATGTGGTGATTCTAACACCTGCTTTGATGCCTATTTTGATTAAGTATTGTTCCTATCTGATTCTTAGATTTGGCATGATTAAAGTATACTCTCTAATATTTAAATCCATAGGTAGAACACTTCATTTAGATATATGTACAATTTATGATGATTTTTCAAAGTTAGGACTTAAAATCTGAAAACAGTTTTGACCATTAGAGCAGCAGGAAATTTATGTACAATTTTGGTACTTTTCTGGACTGAATTGGTTCCTGAAACTATTTTTCTTTAAAGATAACTTAAGGATCTTTCAGTAGGACTTGGAACCACTCAGTTTCGATTTTTTTGGAATTAATTATGAATTTTCAAAGTTGAGTAAAAATTTTAGAATTTCTGTGTGAACAATACCCGTGAAGCAAAAATTTCAAATTTGATCTTTTTGAATCTAAGGCCATCTAAAGTGGTCCCAGTTGACAAGAAATGGAACTTAAGGATGGGAAATAATGAGATTTATGTTAGAAAAATTAGACAGAAAACCTTAAAATCAAGAGAAAGGGTGAAGGTTCAAGAGAGCAAGTCTTGACCTTTGTGTGACTTCTTGGTCCTAATGAGTTGTGTGAACCTTATGGTTGATTTTAGGACCTTGGAACATCCAAGAGGATGTTTTGATGATGTTGACTGAAAGCCCTCATGGTTGGATAATCAAGCGAGTCAAAGGAAAAGTAAGAGGAAAACTTATAGTACAAAGTAGTGAACTTATCTATTATCATTGCTTGATATTGTATGCTTGTGTATTGATATGTACATGATGTTTGAATGTTGTTGTGGCATGTTTTGACTACTGTAATTGTTATTTATGATGAGTAAATTATGTCTCCATGGTCATGCATCAATAAGGTAGCATTAAGCTGCTAATATGTCACTAATTAATAAGAGAATAAGCAAGTTGCATTTAATGCATTAGCATCCATCTAACATGATTAATATGGTATTGTTTGCTACTAAGATTCTCCCGAATCTCATCCCTCCCTAACCAACCATTTAGGTCGATCAATGATGGGCAACGAAGGCATGAGAAGGAAGGAGAAGTGGAGAATTATTGATGTTAATGAGTGAGACTAATGTTCAATGTTTAATTCTCCTATTATGTAAATTATGTTTGTGGATGCCAACGAGGCATTATGATTAATTAGAATATCTATGACATGAATGGAAATGTATGAGAATGAATGGAAAAAAGTAAGCCCAAGTTATACATGCTAAAGTAATAAAAAGAATTAAAGCTAGAATTGTTCAAGAGATAAAACCTAGGTCTTGAAACAGTCATCTTCCAGCTCCAATTTGACCTATCAAATGAATGAATTAAGCCACAAAATTTGGTAGGCATATATTAAACATCCCAAGGTTTAAAATGAGAGGTAGGCCACCTCAATTGGATGTGTACACAAGGAAATACGAATTTCCAAAGTTGAGGTAAGAAATCTAGAAGTTCCAGAATTTACCAAATGAACAGTAAAGTTTAATGAAAAAACTGTACGAATTGGCAAGAGATAAGTCCAGTTTGATTTTTTTTTTCCTTAAATAGCATTGAAAGAGCTTTAAATAGAATTTGGAGCACCTCCATACGATTTTTGTAGAATTAGTTATGATTTTTGGAGGTTAGACCTGTAATATGAAAAATGCACAGTGAACAATAACATGAGGAATTAAAGGAAAAGTTTTAATTTTTGGGCCTAGGTAAAGCTTCTGCATATCCATTTCGCTTTCGAACGTGTACTCTGAGAGGTAAAAGTAAGGATGTTTCAATTGTTGCATAATATGATTACTTGAATATATGCTATGTTATGTTTGAGATTATTTTATGAAAATGACATGTTAGTTGATTGTATTGTATGCATTGGCAACATGTATTAACACGTTGTTTGTGAGCAAATTGTGATGATATTTGCATGGCATAGAATGTTCATGAACCTATATGTAACTTACCTTGCATGTTTGACATTATCATTGTAATTCCTGCTACTAAGATTTTTATGAAATCTCATTCCTTTATATTCAAATATTCACCAATTAGGGATTGGATCAAGCAAGTAGAAAGGAAAGGGATTCATTTGGAAGATGATTGAGCGTAACACCATTGAAGTTATGTTCTATAATTACTATGAATTGTTATGTATATTATGAATTATATTGGAATACTGTATTAATGTTTAAGGATACTTTACATGTGAGCATCTGATCAAGGAATCATGTTTAAGCATGTGAAGTGTGATTGGAAAGATAATATGGAAGGAAAAAGAAACCAAGAATTGTATGAAAAAGGTATAAAAGTTGACTTTTTAAGGGCCAACTTTGACCAATGAAACCTTGAGCAATTGGATGAGTCTTGAGCTGAAACTTGGTAGGCTTATAGATCATATTTTTAGCTTTAAAACAAGTGTTATTTTATCAAATTTAGAGTTTTGTGCAAAAAGTTATACCTATCTAAATTTAGGCATAAATTCTGAAAAATTAAAAAATGACCATATGAATAGTACTACTTTGCACAAATTTTAGGATTAATTGGTGAATTCTGGATGCCAATGAGTATTTTTCTCTTAAAGAGGGCATTAAGAGCTTTAAGTAAAACTTGTAACCACTTCATTTAGATTTTTCTAAAATTAGTTATAAATTTTCAAAGTTTAACCTTTATAAGGATTACAATAAATAGTAACCCGAATTTAAGAAAATTTAAGGTCCAAATTTTTCTAACTTAAGGCCATAAGAAATGATCCAAAATGGTTCCAATTGAGATAAAATAAGGTTTAAAAGTAAGGTGTGATATGTTCCTTTTGATAATTATGATAGGCAAATTTGCTCCTTAACCCTTATATATATTTTAAAAAAACTTATTATTTTATTTCTATCCCCAATCCCTAAAATCAGTCCCTCCCTCCTCATACCTCTCGGCTTCTTGCTCTCTTACCCTCCATCCCTATCGATCTCTACTCCCTTAGCACTCCCTTCTCATCAATCTTATTCTCTCAGCCTCTCTCCCTCCTTCATTGCTCTTACTCTTACTCTCTCAGTCTCTGACCTCTCTCCTTGTCACGCTCGCAAATGGGTTAATTTAGACTTTAATAATGATTTGATTTGTATTAAATTTGTTGATATCTTTAAACTATATATATTTGATAAGAGAGTATTTTATACTAGGAAAATCCCAGAAAAAGCCCCTGGAATATACCAAATCCCAGATTGGGTCCTTAAATTTCGAAAATGACAGAATGGGTCATTGACCCAATCTGTCATTTGTGAAATTCAGGCGAATTGACATTTTTGCCCCTGAGCAAAAGTGAGTAGTTATTCTCTAAACAAATCTAGGTAACGCTTACACTGTTCTAGTGATTACAAGATTCGTTGTAGTTAATAATAAGGTACCTGACAATAATAAGATACCTGACTATGAAAAAATAAGTAGTTATTCTCTACACAAATCTAGGTAATGCTTACATTGTTCTAGTAATTACAGAATTAGTTGTAGTTAATAACAAGACACCTGACTATGAAAAAGTGAGTAGTTATTCACTACACGAATCTAGGTAACACCTAAACTCTTATAGTGATTCCTTGAATCATTGTAGTGAATGAATAAATGAGGGCAAAATTGTCAATTCGCTTGAATTTCACAAATGACAGATTGGGTCAATGACCCATTCTGTCATTTTTGAAATTTAAGGACCCAATCTGGCATTTCCCATATTCCAATGACCTTTTTTGGGATTTTCCCTTTATACTAATATAACTTGTGATTCTATAATTTAAATTCAAAATTTAAGAGTTTCAACAACAATGTTTCTCAAACTAAAATAAAACAACAGTTAGACTGCAAAATTTAAAAATAAAATTCCTATAAAGAAGAAAAACTTGATATTTTTGCTACGAAAGAAAACATACTTATGAAGAAAACAATTGATTATAGTGATAATAAAGTTTCAAAAAATTAATAATAGTATTTATCTATTACACATTTACAATATTAATTAAACTTTTAAATGTTGTTCTTTTGTTGTTGGATGTTTTAGATATTCTTGAATGTCAATAAATATTTAGATATCATGATATTTTGTATTTATCACTTAATTTTATTTATATTTATGTTTTTCATTAATAATTTTATTAGTTTATTTTTATTTTTAATTATAGTGTGATAAATATTAAAATAACATTTTTTTCCCCGAGCAAAAATCCACAAGTCAGCTTTGAACCCATCAACTTAAAAGCATATCAGCTTTGAGTCCATTCACTTAAAAGCCAGGCCCAGCAAACTACAATATTTTTCAAATTCTGGCCCCACAAGGCCAACCCTATAGAGGACAAAACCGACCCATATTCCAACTTCTATTTTCAAGCAACCCTTTAATATTGCATTTATTTTACACTGTATTCTAGAGGCAGTTTGTCTTTCCAAATTTGGATATTTTCCTTTGAAATCTCTTCATTTGGCTTTATTTTAAGCCTTGAGCATTGAATCAATTATAAAAAAGAGACGAATGTGAAGGTAATTCCAATGAATTTCCTAAAGCATGGTACCCTGCAACATATATAGGACTGACCTTCATGAAAAATTTCTACATACTCGAGTGTTACATTAATAATATTCAAGACTCTTGCCGCAACCATTTGAGAACATGGGTAGTCATATTTGATAAAAATGTCATGCATCAAATTCTCACAGCTCTCCTCCGGTCCAAAAAAAAAAAAAAATTCACAGCTCTCCATGAATATGTTGATAACTAAGAAAGCTCAACTATCTTTGGCCGTTTTTTGGGATGCTGATTTCTCTTTTGTTTGCTGATGATCCTGTCCTCCCCAGAAATTGGTCTTTCACCAACAGAACATGTCTCTGAACCATCTTTTTCACAGCCATTCCTGTCTTCACCATGGCTGCTTTCATCATCATCCTCCTCCTCCTCCTCCTCCTCATCGTCATCATCAGAAGAGGCTTCATCAGAATCTGTTTCACTAGTATCACCAGCTGACGGAATCACTGGTTGAGAACCAGAAATTGCAGATTCAGCTGCCGCCACAGCTTCTGGTGTGTGGAGGTCAGTAACACCAAGCATTAAATCCTGTGATAAAACAGCACCCCAAACTTAACTGACTCCAAATTATAAAGTAAATTCAGCTAACTTGAATAAGTGTGGCGCAGGAGGGGGGGTATGTGAGAGGGGGGACCCACTTATGTGAGACCCACTAGGTAAAAGTGAGCCTTACTGCTCTGCTCTCTTTCTTCATTTAAGCAGAAACAGACTTTGAAATATTTCTGTTCCAACTATCACAGAAATCCTTTGCATTCTGAGGTAATCGCACATGACATCTACACCTCTCTTCGATAGTCAACATTTAATTTAAAAAGTACAGGTCTAATTATTTTCACATTTTACTTCCTTCAAAACATTAAAAAAATCAAAAATAAAAATACTCCTTCAGTCCTTAATATAAGACCTACTTAACTAATTTGATTAGATTAAAAAAATTAAGTAAGTTAGTTATTTATAAGAAAGATAATATATTTTTCCTAAAACACCATAATCATCTTTCTTAACATCCTTCCTCTCTCTTTTACTTGATTATGCTTGGAGAGTATCAATAGGGGTAATTTAGAAAAAACTGATAAATATGAGAAATATGTCTTATACTTGGGACCAAAATCAACTCAACAATTAGGTCATATACTAAGGACCGAAAAAGTAATAAATTTTGAACCACTCAATCAGATCAAAACAATCCAATAGGCCATGTATATCTCTCCAAGTGAAAGACGATCAAGTTTGTAAATCTCAAATATGAAAGCTATTGAGATACGCAGATAATGTGTAGACTCATAAAACAAGATAAGAAATTTAAATACCATCTCAATAACTTCAGATTCGTTTCCTGTCAGCTCTTCAATGTCATAATTCCGTGGATTGTCCTACATTACATCAAGATCAAGTCTTAATAAATATAGAAACTATAAAGAAATAAGATCGTTGTAAAGCAGTTAAAACTTATGTTTTCAATCAGAAGTCAATTTTCAACCTTGGCACCGAGTTCCAGCCGTTGATTGGCTTCTGACATCACTCCTAGGAAGTCTTTCACTTTTCCTAAAACTGCATCAACAAAAGGAACATCTAATATCTTGATAGAAAAAAATGATTGACTTTTACGATTTTACATTCAAAAAAATGAGACGTTAATAATATAATGCATAGGGATCTCATTCCACTGGACAATAGATATATAATATCTATTTACCTCTATCATCATTATTTGATAGTAATTATTTTTACTATTATTTTTTTCATTGACGGTTATAAAAGACATTTCACATCTAAAAAATCACATTTTAATTATATTCTTTTTTCTATTCAATTTCATTAGGCACGCCAAACATGCCTCTAATACATATTTTGAAATTGTGATGAAGGCAAATTATCCAAAGCAAAAGAAAATAAAATAGACATGAGCAGATCTAATAATGTCTGTAAAATAACATAAGCGCATATGTTTATGCAGTGAAATCCAAACGGCCATCATAATAAATAGTCAATCAAGAGATATCTACAAGATCAAGGATCACCAACATAACAAACTTTATCCCCTTAGATGAGGTCGGCTATATAAAAAGCATAATGTCATTGCACTCTATCAATAACCAAACTTTTGGATATATCATTAATCCAAAAGTCCTATTCAATAACTTAGTGTTCCCTTCAGTTTTCTTCTATCTCTTTCTAGGCATTTGCTACCAAACCGACTAATCTAATCCTCCTCGTGGGTACTCCAAATATAAAAATACCGAACCGAATTAATGAGTGATAACCGAATAACCAAATAGAATAAATTTAAAATACTGAACCGAAACCAAAGACCAAACTAACCAAAACTGAATTAATCGAAATATTTCGATTCGGTTAGCCGATTAACCGAAATATATAAATATAAGAGTGATTTTAAATTAATAATAATAATAAAACACAATTACAACCATTAATTAATAAATATTTCATCATTTAATGTGATTTATTACAATAATACTTGTTATAAATATATTTAAAGAGTTCACATAAACCTACATATATATTTATTATAATAATATTTATAAAATATAAATATATAATATATTTATTTCGGTTTTTCAGTTATAACCGAATTTTTCTTCTACTAACCGAACCGAACACCGAAACCGAATTATTACAAAAATAAAAACCGAATATGTAACTGAAAGCCGAAATAACCTAACTGAAAAACCGAAATTAAATTTGGTTCAGTTCGGATTTACTCACCCCTAACTCCAACGGCCTTGTCTACACAGTACAATGGAAAATCTAGAATTTGAAAACTTAGGTTTCTATAAGGATTTCACACTACAAACATTTAGATTATTGGTGATAGGAATCTACGGTAATTTTAGGATATACTATTGGCCAAGTAGAAGAAGCCCCACCAGATGATCATTCGAGCAATTAGTAATTTATTTTCTTTAATATTAGGATATACTATTTTAGATATATGAGTTATCAAATAGGGACCTCAAGGATATTTTTTTTTAATATCTCATTATCATGTTGCAATGTCCTTGATTTAAATTAGGTAAATCACATCTTATCATTCATATTTTTAGAATATTTTTCAATATTCTTTTCAATATTTAGAATCATTTAATGTCAAAAAATTTGTCCATTTAAAGACCAAGCTGTACTTAGTTATGAGGACAAGTTTTGAATGAGATTTTTCTCAAAATAATTTACTTGTTTTGATATTCTTGATAGAATAATTCTAGGTCGCAAGAGTCTAGTCAACTCCTGTTGTGCCTTTTATAGCTAAGGATCTAGAGACAATTCCTCTAGGGTTTTAGCTGATCACATTTTCTGTTCTTTCGAATCTTTATTCTGTATTTCCTGGGGTGTCCAGACAGGTTCCTAGAGGATGTATATCAATTGAGCTTGTAAAGAGTGTAAAACCACTACGTGTCATAAGTATCAAACAAAAATGGCCATCCATAGTATAGCACTAAAGATGGATACAAGTTTTCAGCCAGTTGCTACGAAATTACTGAAGAGTAGATACTTTTTACAATTGAGAACCACAAAAGTGGGTCTGTAAGAATGAAATTCTATGCGTAAGATGTTCATAGAGAACCAAGAACCTGATAACAGTTGAAGAACTTGGCCAAGTCTTGTCTCAAAGTAAATTATTAATATCATCAATACCAATATTAATAGCAATAGCAACAGCTATATAAAATATAAAATTATAACAAGCCATAAATTATTCGACTTATTTCTCATACACTCAGTACAATGCAAGAGTGATCCACCATCATCAGCACTCATAAAGGAGATTATAAAGAGATATAAAACATTAAGCTAGTTGTCAACAGGAAAACCAAATTAACTAGATTCAGCATCAACCAGGAAAAGCACAATCAATAATTGTTGTAAATATAAATGTGTTTGGCAAGAATGCACGAGTCTCACAGATTTTGTCAAAATCAAACTAACAATTATCACCCTCCACTTAAAAAAGGAGAAATCCATCATCGACCACAAAACATATTTTAGAAAAAGGGTAAATTTAGTAAAACATGGAATTCAGAAACAGGACTTACGGTGGCTAGGGGCTACCGGGGCTGTGAGGGGTGTTCCGTCAGAGGGGAGCTTCTTAGTGACAAAGCTTGAGTCTTTTTTACAGAAAGAAAGGGAAGATTCTGCAAGACAAAGGAAGAAGCATTGTAAAACCGACACAGTTAACAATTAAGAAGAAAATAAAAACAGAGAAACATAAATCCTATTAAGTCAAAACCAAATAGAGTCGAGAGAGAGAGAGAGAGAGAGACCTAAAGAAGAAAAGGATGTATTCTTGTGTTCTATGCGGAGAAGCTCTTTACTTCTTCGTTCCATCTTTTCCTGCACTTTATCTTTCCGTGCACTTTAGCTGCTTGCTTCTGTGTCTGTGGGTAACTGAGTTTACAGAAAGCTCTCAATGAACTTCAGATTTTCTAATCTTGAATCGATCAGATGAAGGTCCCCCAAGGCATAATAGAATGAAATGAGTTGAGAGTTGAAGAGAGAAGATGACTCACTGTAAGGGGGCTCGACGGTTGAGAGGCCGGAGACGCCGAGCTGGGAGCCTGAGACGCCGGAGATGCCGACGTTGGGAGCCTGAGAGTGAGACGCCGGCGGCCGACTGTGCGAGCTCAGCTGAAGCTGGTCCGTGCCATGGTCGACTCTCGACTGGGCGAGACTGGAGACAGAGGAAGAAGAAATTGGTGGTGGTCTGGTCCGTGGTCTACTGTGCGAGACTGGAGACAGAGGAAGAACCGAAGAAGAAGCGGGGAGCGTGGTCGTCTCTCTGGTCCGTGGTCGACGACGACGAGCCAAGTGAAGGAGGAAGTCTAGGGCAAACCAAACCGTTTTATAGTTGGTTTGGTACAAAGGAAATGGAGCCGGAAAAAAATTTAATCAACTCTTATAAAATTTTAATAAAAAAATGTAAGATAAAAAAATTAATAAATGTTATAAAACTAAAAAAAAAAAAAAAAGAAGAGTAATAAATTAGAGAGAAAAGAGGATAAAGGTTTTTCTCATTTCATTTAAAATGCTGAATAAATTATATATATTTTTTATTTATAGACATTTATATTCTCTATTTATAGATTTAGCTTTACATCTTTAACAGAATGTATAGATAATCTAATAATAACAAATAACTATAGGATATAGAGATAATGTAAGATATTATAGTTAATAGGAGAGATATGGACATACACACATATATTATTATATTTATAACAATCCTCCTTATATGTTCATTTTATGTATGTGCCTCATTAAAAATTTTAACTAACAAAATCTCTTGGAATAAAAATCTAGCAAAAGAAAAAGTATATATCATTCATTAATATATTATTCAATACTGTCTCATTAAAAACCTTATTCAAAAAACCTAGTGACATCAAACCATAGATAAGGGGGAAAAAAAGAGTATAACGTGCATTAACTCCCCCTCTTAGCAATATCAGTTGACGTCTTCAAGTCTAAAAAGTCTAATATCACGAACAAGCCTTTTAAATATTATGCCGAAACAAAAATAACATATATTGATTTTACATTCTTTTGAAAATCAGGAGACAATTAACTTTTTTGTAGTCTATTGACATATAAATCAAACTGTGATCTCTCGACATGAAAATCAAACAAGAATCTTTTATCTACATAACTAGTAAGATTAGTTTTGAACACATTCAGATGAAATAATATCACCTCCATAATACCCTTAGAGTAATGAAGAACATATTTAATTTCATTTCAACATCTTCATATTGGTAAAAAACTATATCATGCTAATTAGTAAATGATAGCTAAATATATAAGTGCTCCAACGACTCTAAAATATGGTATATTTTTGGACCAATTATTTATTCATCACCTTCTTAAGATCTAAATGGATCTTTAACCATATATCAAGATCTTGCAACTATCAAAGCACATAATAGATGTAATTCATCTATATAAGAATGCTTCAAGACCTTTCTTGTATGAGTTTCTTTATACAAATTTCAATAGGAATATCCAATTTGTAATCCAAGACAACTTCTTGTTCTTTTCAAGTCTTTCATTTTCAAATTTTTTCTTCAAACAATTCACAACTTTTGTAAATTCTTCACGTGTTTTGATGCTATTTATATCATAACCATAAATAGCAATGATAATAAACTCATTTCTAAATCTTTTCATACATAGACAATTTAAAATATTTTTATATAATTATGTAGTATTCTTGAGAAAATAATTGTATACTTGTCGAAACTTGAACCCTTTAAGGATTTTCATATATTTTGATTCAAATCCATTCATGTAATAGATCACTTGGAATTCACATAAAGATTTGAATCCTCTGAGATTCACATATAATTTCACTATATAATAAATCATTATATTCTCTAGATGCATATGAAAAATTATCATATATTATCAAACTGTCAATTGATAAAACACATAAAAATTTAATCCATCATAAGACTATATTTCACCTTTCTTGTACAAGCGCTTATTTATATAATACTAACATTAGAATCCAAGTGCTTGGGGTAAAATACACAAATCCCCGCTATAATGTTGCATGTTTCATATTTTCTGTTTTGTTGGCCAATCATCTTTTTGTTTGTATTTCATGATAGATTTGTATATAAAATTCTCATTTGATCATGTGATATCATCACTAAAATTATTATCGACAATTTTATTCATTTTTGGACCCTTTTCTTTTGTGACATAACATATCAAGATCTCTTTATTGCTTTTAAATACTTAAACCTTTTCAATAGTTAAATAATTATATCTTAGCCTCTTTTACAATTCGTACCTCTATAATCATCTTAATTATTTGCTCCTTTTCTTTTGGAATCGATCATTCTCTCATGCTTCTAGCATGCCTTATTTTCATTTTTAGGGATAGAAGCCTTTATAGCTGGAATAAAAAAATTAAAAATTCTTATTTAGATCAGTAATTGCATCTAGCAGATATTTAGCAACATTATATGAATGGAATATTTTATGAACTTCTTGTTCATACTACTACATCTGAGGATCTATGTTTTATAGTAAAAATATATTCCATATTTTTTCCTAGCTATTTATTTTCTCTCCGTCATATTGGGAAAACTTTATTAAATGACAATCAACTAATCATGCCATATAAGTCTCCCAAATCGATAAGTTTCCTTTAAAAACATTCTTTTATTTCATTTAAAGATAAACAAGAAGAATGGGGTTTTTATCCAATATTAATCCCAACTGTCTTTTAATATCTATTTATATGCATCATTGTGGTAGAATAATGGATATTACACATTCTAAGATCAAAAATGCCTAGCTCCTCACCAAAAACCAATTATAATGAGAGAATTCATAATACATTATTGGCTTGATGTATTGTGTGTGGGAATATTTAAAATCAATTATCCCAACATTAAAATGGGAATTTTAATTTGTTCTTGTAAGCTTTGGTTTAGCTACTTATGGAGGCTTTTGCTAAGCATATAATCATTAATAACTTAAAAAACAATCACCAGCAGTTTCAACGGGAATCATATGATTGCATAAACTGAGAGTTATGCACTCAATGTAATTATTTGAACATATTTGCAAACTTCATGTTACAAGTTGATCATAAACACTTATGTGACCATTTTATAGATAAATCTCTTATTCATAATGTTAGTGGTAGCTTCACCCAAGAGGGGGTGAATTGGGTGAATTATAAAAATTTAACATAATAAAACAGTGAGGTAAATAAAACAGAGAAGATGAGTTAGAAGAATTTCACCGCAGAGCGAAGACACAGGATTTATACTAGTTTGGTTTAATCACTTGACCTACATCCAGTCCTTAGAGCACTTCTGAGATTTCCACTATGATCCAAGATTAAATGGGCTCTTGGCACCTCTGTACAGTAATTGATTTCCTTAATCACTCCCCCTTACTACCATAAGACTAAAATCCCCCCAAGAGTCCACACTCTTGAGTTACTCTCAGAAAATAAGTAAAAAGATATATCAAACTCTCTTACAGAGTAAATGAATAATAAACACTGAAACTCAGTGAAAGAAAACAAAGTATTGAATGCAACAATAAGTATTTCAGTAGATGGTAGCTCGCGTATTCAATGCTTCATTCACTGCTCTTCGCACCTTTTATAGTTAGGGAAGATTAATTAACTGTTAGACTGAAGAGCTTTTAGCCGTTGGAAGATCGGTTGTGTGTTTTCAATAGTTACAACAGCAGTTCACCATTAATGTTTTTGACACAGTAGGTAACAGGCTACTAAATAATTGTTGAGCTTGCTTCGTAATCTGTAACAATACTTGAAACAAGTAAGTTTCCTTTCAGAAGGAAACTTGTGAAGATAACTGAACAAATAATGATCATTGATATTCATATACCAATTAAAAAAGCAATGAATAAATCAATAGGTACTTTAAATATAAACTGAACATACTTGATCGATGTCTTGATCGATAAGTAGTTGATCAATCCAGTTATTGATTAATTACAGAGAAAAAGTCACACACACACACATATATATTTATCAATAAGCTTATGGATCAACAGATGATCGAATAAGTAATCGATAAAGGATGAGAAATGAATATAGTGACTTCTAAAGAAATTTTGGATGAATAAACTTTAAATTCATCTATGCCTTTAAATCTCTTCAATACAGAATTATGTGTAAAAGGAAGGCTGAGAAAAGCTTAAAGATAAAAAGATAAAAGATTTTGAAGATCATTGTGAATAGCTGTAGTGAGATGAACTGGTGCAATGATCGAACAAGTGATCGAAAACTATTTGATCGATCATATTATTGATAAAGCTAAGTATGAGAGAAATAGATTTTCAAAAAGCATTGATCGAATACTTTATCGATAAATAAATGATAGGTAAACTGATCGATAAAAGATCTAGAAAGGAATTTCACATTGAAATCACAGAATATATGATGTTTGAATAATTAATCCATTAAGGATTAATCAATTAAGTCATCAATAAAATATCATTGAAAACTTAGTTCAAAAAGGTCAGGGCAAGAGCTTGATCGATCATGCTACATGAAAACAAAAGTTTCAGAAGTTTGGATGATCAATTATTTTATCGATAATTCAATGATCGATCAGGTGATCCAAAAAGACTTAAAAATGGTAAGTGCAGTGAGATGATAATGATCGATCATTTGATCGATAAAGGACTGATTGATCAATTGATTGATAAAGGAACCGGACAGAAAACTTTAAACAGAACCTTATTATCAAAAAGCCAGTAAGTTAATCAAGCAATGTCAGAGTAGGTTATCGATTAATTATTAATCGATAAAGTGATCGATAAAATATGTATTAGAATATAAAGTAAGTAAGAGGATTTTACCGTTTATCTGTGTTCTCATCAATAACTCCTTGATCAATCAGTTGATCGATAAATGCTTACCAGAATTGTGTATCTTTTTTTGTCAATTGATCAATCATTAAATTATCGATCAATTGATTGACAATCTTTTGCAAACTTGTACACTAAATAGCGTTAATGATGATCGATAAATTGATCGATCAACTCATAAATTTTTTATTTATCTAGTAAGTTATCGATCAATCTTACTACTAAGTTACTTTTATACAGAGACATTTTATCTGACACCAGATCGATTAACCTTTGATCGATCAACTTACTAAACCAAATCTTACTTAAATTATTATTATCAAAACCTTAAATCTAACATTCTCTCCCTTTTTGATGATGACAAAACATAGGTGTAAGGTTAATCAAATTGTATCAGATAAAAGAATATAAATTAGATCCAGAACTCAGCAACAATTCACAACAAATAATAATATTCAT